CTGTCGTGAAGAGGTGGCTCTTTTGGAGGCGTCGTGGGGGGGGTAGGACTTCTGGAGGGGCAGCTTGTTGGGGACCAAGGGGTCTGTTTTGGTGGGGGGCAGTTATGGGTGGCAGAGCCTCTTGAGGGGCTCTTTTGGGAAGGTAATTGAGGAGACGGGGCCTGTTTGTGGGGCAGTTGTGGGGGGTGCTGGGCTATATCAGGAGTGGTGTGAGGGGCAGTGACGTGGGGACAGGCCTTTGGGGGCAGAGGGCTGTTCTGGGGGGTATGGGTCTATCTCAGTGGGCAGCTGTTGGGGGGGGGCGCTCTTGCTCTTTTGGGGTGACAAGGGCCTGTCTTGGGGGACTCAGAGTCTTTGGGGGGCAAGGGCTTTTGGGGAGCAGTTGCCGGAAGGGACTGGTTCAAGGCTTTTCTGTGGGGCAAGGGGCTGTTTTCAGTGGGTTTTCATCCGCGCTCTCCCTCCCCCTCCCACAGCTGGCCTACTGCGTGGTGCAGTTCTTGGAGAAAGATGCCACCCTCACGGAGCATGTAAGTGCCCCACCGGGGGGGGCCTGAGGGGCCCTGGGTTTGGCAGACCACACCTTGGTCTCTAATCCTGGCTCTGTTACCCAGGTGATTCGGGGGCTGCTGAAATACTGGCCGAAGACCTGCACCCAGAAAGAGGTTTGGGGAGGGGCCTTGGAGGGGGCTGAGGGAGGTCTTTGGGGAGTGGTTGAGCTGGGGGGGGTCATCCATACTCATTAGGGGGTGAGAAATGGGGCTGCAGCCAGGTTGGGGTGAAGGGGATGGATAAGTGGTTGGGGGGAAGTTATAGGATGGAAGGGGAGGGGCCTGCGGTACTTGGCCCCGCCCTGCCACCTTACAGGCCACTTCCCTCCCCAGGTGATGTTTCTGGGGGAGATCGAGGAGATCCTGGATGTCATTGAGCCCTCGCAGTTTGTCAAGGTGCAGCAGCCGCTCTTCAAGCAGGTTGCCCAATGCATCGCCAGCCCCCACTTCCAGGTAGGGGCGGGGCCTGCTGGGTTTCCGCCCATAAGGGGAGTGGGGTTTGAGGGAGTGCAGGGTGGCTAGTTGACGACTTTATCTTAGGGCCCTCCCTCAATCCTAGAGGGAGGGGCCTATTTTAGGGGATAGGCTCCACCCCTTAAATGGATAGGCCACACCCCTGACCCCCCAAGGGGGCAGGCTCCACCCCTGAAGATGGGGGGTGGGGCACACAGCAGGGGCAGGGGCCTATTCTAGGGGTAGATTCCATCCTCTGAAGACTCAGGTGGGGCCCAGTATAGGGGGAGGGGCCTATTTTAGGGGTAAGCTCCACCCCCAAAGACTGGGGGCAGGGCCTAGGACAGGAGGAGAGTCCAATCAAGGGGGCAGGCTCTACCCATTAAGCCTGGGGGAGGGGCCTATTTTAGGGGCAGCCTCCACTTCTCAAGCCTGGGGGCAGGGCTTCTGGTAGGGGCGGCCCCTCCAGGTAGAGGCATGGCTATCCAATGCCCTGCCCACCAAAGTTGGGGGAAGGGCTCTGGGGAAGTGAGGATGGGGGCGTGGCCTGCCTGGTGCCTGCCTCCTGGAACTGAGGGGCAGGCCTTTAGGTAGTTTTAGGGGTGGGGTAGCTGTTGCTCCACCCAATCAGCTTGGGACTGGGGTTTCCAGGCAGGGAGATTTGGAGCTTTGGGAAGTAGGGGAGGGGCCAAACTAAGCCCTGCCTACACCATGGGACCCACCCAGGGGCATGGCCTTGACCTCAGCATCCCCTCTGGCACGCCTAGGTGGCAGAGCGGGCCCTGTACTTCTGGAACAACGAGTACATCCTGAGCCTCATTGAGGACAACTGCCAGGCAGTACTGCCCGCCATCTTTGGCACCCTCTACCGTGTCTCCAAGGAGCACTGGAACCAGTGAGCCAGTGGGAGGGACTGGGGGGGAGGGGTCTGTCTGTGGGGAGCGGGGCCTGGGGAGGACGCATCCCATAATGCTTTGCTAGGTGGAGGGAGATGTGGAGGCAGGGAGGCAACTTGTTCATCCCAGAATGCTGTGTGGGAAAGTATGGACATCTTGGCTATCCCACAGTGCTTTGCAGGGGTGGGAAGAGTTGGCATCCTATGATGTTTTTTGGGGGTGGCCTGATGCAGTAATTCCGTAGTGCATTGCAGCAGCAGGGGCACTGAGGTATCCCCTGATGCTTTGCAGCTCTCCATGGAGAGGGGCCCAATCCCAGAATGTTTTGCAGAGTTTGGGTGGGGAGGGAGGGGGGTTCATTTGGCAGTCCCCCGTGCTTTGCAGCAGGGTGGCACTGGCAATCCCATGATGCACATGGCAATCCCATGATGCATTGTGGCAGGATGGGGGTTTAGCTATCCCACTATGCTTTGCAGCCTTCTGGGGGTGCTGAGTTAATCCCACAATGCCTTGCAGTGAGTGAATGTGTGTGGCAGGAGAGGACTTGGCTATTCCACAGTGCTTTTCAAGGTGGAGGGTGGGTACATCTGGGGAAAGTGCCCATCCCATAATGCTTGGCAGGGGACTGGGATCTGCATATGGAGGAACTTGTCCATCCTACAAGGCTTTGCAGGTGGCAGTGTTTTGAGGGGAGGAATTGACTAACCCCACATGCTTGCCTGGGTACATGGAGGGATTTGGTTATCCCACAATGCTTTGCAGTTGGAGGAGTGAGGTTGGGTCTTAGCCATCCCATAATACTTTGCAGGGGTGGCATTTATCTGTGTGAGAGGACTTGGCTGTCCCAAAATGTTTGCAATTGCAGGGGGTGTTGAGGAGAGGGGCAAGTGCCTCGCCACCCCCCCATTACAGACATATACACAGACCCCTGTTGCAAAACATTGTGGGATAACCAAGTTCTCTTGTATACACATGTACACACACCCTGCAAAGCATCGCGGGATAGCCAAGTCCTCTTCTGTACGCATGCACACATCCCCACAATGCTTTACAGGGTTGGCCAAGTCCTTCTTCCCTGCATACACAATGCTCTGGAGGGTGTGTGTTAGTGGGGTGGGATCTGGCCACCCCATGATCCTTTGCTGTGGGCAGGGGGCAACTTAGCCACCCCACAATGCTTTGCAACATCTAGGCAGCCTGTCTATCCTCTCCAATGGACTGTGGGGCAAGGGCGGGGGTCCAGAGGGGGCAAGGGGCCCGGCTTGCCCCTCACAACTGCCCTTGCCCCCAGGACCATCGTGTCGCTGGTCTACAACGTGCTCAAGACCTTCATGGAGATGAATGGGAAACTCTTCGATGAGCTTACGGCCTCCTACAAGCTGGAGAAGCAGCAGTGAGTGCTGGCCGGGGCGGGCCCAGGGCATGCTGGGACCAAGATGGCACCCATGTCCGGTCTCCTGTGCAGTCCTGGGGTGGGGTGGGGCTTCCCCCTTGGTCTAGCTGCTTCACAGCTGGCCTCTTAGCTTCCCACAATGCCCTGGGGCAGCCCAAGTGCCTCCTTGGTCCAAGCTGCCCTGGGGTGTGTACATGTTGAGGGAGGGGGTAGGGGAAAGACATGCCTCACTTCCCACAGTGCATTGGGTTCCTCTTGGCCTGAACTCCATGAGGTGTGCCTCAGTTCCCACAATGCTCTGGGGCATCCTGGGAGCCATCTTGGTCTGGGTGTGTGGGGGTAGGGGAAGCCAGAACATGCTTCATGACCAAGATGGCATTGGGCTGTCGCACTGCATCATGGGAAAGCTTTGCCACCATTTTGGAGCACCGGCTACCTCTCCCACAATGCCACCCTGTTGCTGAGATCTTCCTCTTCTCCCACAATCCCTTGGGGCCGCCATCTTGGCTTTCCTCCCCAAAGTATTCCTTATTTCCCATGATGCTCTGGGGCTGCCACATTGGCCTGAGCTCCCCTGTTATGTTTTCCTCCTCTCCCACAATGCCCTGCGGCTGCCCTACTGCCATCATGGCCCAAGCTACCCTGGTGTCTTCCACCTCCCACAATGCCCTGGGCTTGTCTCCCTGCCCCTGGGGCTCCATGGGGTGGGTTTTTGGGGCCCCCCTGACCCCCAGCCCTGCCTGCAGGGAGCTGAAGAAGGAGAAGGAGCGCCAAGAGCTGTGGCGGCAGCTGGACGAGCTGCGTCTCCGGCGGCTGCGGGGCCTGGAGGAGGCACAAATGAACCGGCTCAACCTCCAGCACGGCCACAGCCCCAAGACATAGACCCCCAGCCCCCCTATTCCCCCAGGGGCACTTATTGCGCCCCCCAGAAGGGGCTGCAAGGGGGATGCCCCCCCCCCACATCCAGTTCCCCACCACCACGTTGCACTGCCCTGTGCCCCCACCAGGGGGCACTATCCCTATTGCCCCCCCATAATGCTTTTCCCCACCAGGGGGGGCAGGGGAGGGGGGGTGGCTGCTCAGCTGGGGTCCCTAGTGGGGGTTTGTGGGCCCCCAGATGGTGAGTGCTATGGGGGGTACTGTTTCTGCCCCCTCACTGCACCCTAAAATATAGCTCCTGCCCCTTTAAATATCTGCTCACTTACTTTGCTGTTGAATGATTTATTCCACCCCTCTATAGATGGTAGATTCCACTCTCCCTTGTGCCCTCTCCCCTCCCCCCCCAGGACAAGTCCAAAAGGACCCTCTTCCTCCTCCATGGCACAGTCCAATGGAATGTGCCTCTTCTGTGACTGAGCAGGCTCTACCATCTTTGGGAAGAAGGGGGGAGGTGCAGGTAGATTCTACCACTAAAGTTGGCTGGGTTAGATGGTACCGTTCTCAAGTGGGGGGGTGTTATTTGCATAGCTGGACCTAAAAAGGAGGGTTGAACTATTTGAAAAGCAAGGGAGGGGGGGTTAAATGGGTTGTACCACTTCAGATGGGAAGGAAGGGGAGATAAATCAGTTCAGGGATGGGGGTAAAGTTACCCTGACTATACCAAGTGTAGGCAGTTGACTAGACTGTACCAAGCGTGTGTATGGGGGGGAGACTATTGGACTTTACCATTTTCCTTCTGGGAAAGGGGATCATACCATTCAGAAAGGGGATGCAGCTGTTAACTTACCCCCCTAGGGGGTGGGGAAGGAATAACCTGAATGGATTATACCTGTGCCCAGAAGGGGTGCTGCTTGGACTGTACCACTCCAAGAGTGGGCTGTACCATTTCTTGGGCGGGGGGGGGTCTTGAAACACCCTTTCCCTGCTGCTGTTTCACATATCCAAGGTCTTAATTTGGGGGGTGGGTCCCTGGGGGCCTTAGGCCTGATACCCTCCCCCCTCCCTCCCTCCTTCTCAATCACTACGGCTTCTTTTTTCTTTTTTTCAGAGGTGTATTTTTCTTCAAGAGAAAAAAAAAATGCCTCCTACTTTTATTGGTGGGGGTAGTGGGATCCTCATTTAGTGGTAGCCACACCACATCCCCTGCCGGTCACCGTAGTAATAAGGGTGCCCCAGGGTTGTCGTAGATACTGGGCCGGCATAGTTACTGTGAGATGCAGTGGGGGAGGGGGGGCTTTTTTGGGGGAAGAGTTGAAAATAATAAATATATAAATATTATATATATTTAAGGCGAGTTGGGTTCATGCGTCCCTGTCTTCCCCCGCACTTCTTGATTTTTTTTTTTTTTTTAATTTTTTTTTTTTTTGGTTGCTGTATTCAATAAAGAGATACTTTCATGTCAGCTGGGAGCCTGGGCTGTGTTTGTAAAGGGTTCTCTCCAGCTCTGGGGCATGGGGCAGTTGCCTGGGTCCTGTCCTGGGCTCTGATCCCAGATGCCTGCGTTCTCTCCAGCCCCGGGAGGGGACTGGGTCTGACACGCTCCAGTTGTGGGGGGGTAGGGCAGGAGCCTGGACACCGACCTGGGTTCTCTCCGAGTTCTAAGTGGTCTGAGCACCACCAGGATGGGATCTGGAAACTCCTAGGTTCTCCTGCACCCTGTCCATCTTAGGGATGTGACCAGTATCCTCCCCCCGCAAACTGCTTCCTTTCTGGGCCACAGATCCTAGCCATGCAAGCAAGTCCTAGCCCAGAAGCACCCGCAGGACTCAAGGGTCTTTTGTAAGGTCATTTATTATGTGCGGAAGCGCAGAGAACAGCTCTGGGAGCGGGGCCTGGGCCCCCCCCCCTGCAACCCCTCACAGAGAAGGGGGGCCTTAGGCTGTGCCCCCCCTGCCCTACTGCTGCAGGGGGAGAGGGCAGAGAGGGGGAAACTGAGGCATGGGTGGGGGGCATGTGAGCATGCAGGGAGCAGTGTCAGTCGAGTTGCTGGGCAGTGGGGGGACAATGCAGGCGGCTGGGCTCCTACCCCTGCCTGCTCTGGCCCCCCAGGCCCTATTCTGCTCGCAGAGCTGGAAGCAACCCAGGAGTCCAGGCTCCTTAGCCCCACTGCTCCAGCTTGGAGGTGTGGGGTGTAGGCTGGGCAGTGCTGGCAGCCCAGACCCCTGGGTTCCCCCCGGCTCTGGGAGGGGGGGCTGGGAGCCCGGACCCTGGGTTCTCAGCCGCCCAGCGAAGCAGGGTCAGTAGCGGGACAGGCGGCACATGTCGCACTGACAGGCCTTGGCCGTGAACATCTCCAGCTCCTCGCGCCCGCCACCTGGGCACTGGAGCCGCACCCGCACCTGGGACACAGGGGTGAGGAACCCAGGCGTCCGCGCCCCTCATTGGCCCCACCCCCAGGACCAAACACACCCCAAGCTCCACCCACACCTCCCCAGGGCCTCAGGTCCTGCCCCTTCCTTTCCCTAATGCCACTCCTCGTAGCTCCGCCCCATCCCTCCAAGCCCCACCCCCAACTAGAT